CTTGACCTGGAAAGGAGAAACGGCATGTAAGTGTAAAATGCACCTTTCCACCTAAATCTGAGGCTGGAAAGAGAACCACGCCCTCACCAGCTGATCCACGGCCTCGTTGCCTACTAAGGCCTCGCCCACAAACAGCACCAAGTCAGGGGTGTTGACAGTAATGAGCTTGGCCAGGGCAGTCATCAGGGGGGCATTGTCTTGCATGCGACCAGCTGTGTCCACCAGCACGACATCAAAGCCCTGGTTCCGTGCTACAGAGAGAAAAGTGGTCAGCTCAGAACTCCTGGGTTGTCACACTTATTTCCAGCGTCCTCTCAGGAAGTCCTAGCCTGGCTATGTGAAAGGTCTGTTTCCTTTCTCGGGCTCTGGATCTGGTTACAAGGTAGTGAGAAAAAAATCTGTACTTGGCCCTCCGCGCATAGTCAGGAAAAGGATGGCAGTGCCACAAAGGTGACCAATTAGAGGTTTCTTGGGTTGGGCCATACCAGCTTCGGTTGCAACTACACCCATTACCCAAAGCGGAGCATGGCAAGTCACAAGCCCTGACTTGTTACTGAGCATAAGTTGGTAGTCGGGTGACCCTGATCCTCAGGGTATTTTAAAGGAGCCCAAGGAAAGGGGCCCAGACCAGCTCCCACACTTTCCGTGCACCGTACCAAAGGCAATAGCTTCCATGGCGATGCCGGCAGCATCTTTGCCGTAGCCCTTCTCAAACAACTGCACCATGGTGCGGCCACCGTGACTCTCCGGGGGGTGTAGGGCACTCAAGCGGCGTGTGTGTGTGCGCAGCTGCTCCACAGCCCCGGCACGAAATGTGTCACAGGCGGCGATGAGGACACTGAAGCCATTCTCTAGCAGCCAGAAGGAAATCTGCAAGAGGCAAAGCAGACTGTCACCTAGAACCACAGTTGCTGAGATAGTGAAGAAAGGTCAGACAGATGGGAACTGCACTGACCTTGGCAAGATTGGTGGACTTCCCCACTCCATTAACCCCACAGAAGGTGACCACGTAAGGGCGCTGATGACGCTGGGCATCCATGATGTCCCGGAGCATGTCCACACGACGCTGTGGCTGCAGGATCTGTACCAGGGACTCTTGCAGAGCTTGCTTTACTGTGGAAGTCACCGCTGAAAGGGAGGAGGCAGCACACCCATGAATCCCAAGGATGTACTCCAAGATCGCCCAACACCTTTCTGCGCTAAGGGAACTAGGATCTGGATGCTACTAGGATCCTGCCCCAGGAATCCACACATCTGCTACTGTCCGAATAAACACTTCCCAAGTATTAACTCATTTAAACCTCTTAGTAACTCTTAAAGTCTAAGTCATGTAATAGAGGTTTAGAGCTTCAGAGATTTGCCAAAAGTCACGGAGGCCAACGCACTGGTATGCATAATGCCTTGCGCACACTGGTTGAGGCCGATACTTACTGCTGAATGTCCCCATCACCTTCCCTTCCAACTTGTTGGCCACGGATTCACAGAGTTGGACTGCAATGTCTGCTGCGACATTCTTAGCTGAGGAGAGGGGAACGGTGTGTGAGTGTCAAGTCAGGTCACCAACTCTTACGGTATAGCTAGGAAAACTAGATGGTTCTACCCTCCACCATCCCTACCCCATAAACACAAGCCCGCCTGTTCCTAGAACTTACCAATGAGATGATCACGCATCTTGTCCAGCACAGATTCCATGTCTTCACGACTCAAGCTCTTGGAACCCACAAGGCCCTTCAGCATCCCAAACATGCCACCCAGAGTCCCCTTGGCAGCACTGCAGGCACAGGAGATTACGGGTACACACAAAGCCAGTGGGCAGGAGTCAAACCTCATCCGCTGTGGAGCCACACACACCCTGCACCCCCTGAAATTCCCTACCTAGGTTTGGTAGGGTTTTGAGCAGCCCCTTCATCATCGGAGCTGCTGCAGTCCAGATCCTGAAGCTGCCCCCCAGGCCCAGTCCCTCGAATCTGCAGGGTTTGGGGAAAGGAAGGAGAGAGGATTAGGAATTCTAAAGGTTCTGAAGGGGAAAAGCCCAGGATTCACCCTGTCTACACTGCTCAGTCTCTCGGATTTGGGGAGAGACTCACCTCCTCACTCAAAGAAATCCAAGGTACTGCCCCCTCCTCTCTACTTCCGATTTACTTATTTTTCTAAACTTTTATTTTAGAGGAAGAGAGAGGGATAGGAAAATGGAAACATCAATGAGTGAGGAACATCATCAATCGGCTGCCTCCTGCACACTCCCTATGGGGATCGAGCCTACAACCCAGGCACATGCCCTGACTGGGAATCAAACCGCTCAACCACTGAGCCACACCGGCCGGGCCCTCCCATTCCGTTAAATGGTAACCTTCACTCAGGCCCCCGATGGCTCTCACCAAGTTGATGTCCTCAGGCGGGGCAACCTCTGGGGCCCCATTGGTGGTAGGAGCGCTATAATCCAGGTCTTCCTTGTTAGCACAGCCACCCAGCGCCCACACTCGCGGCGCCTTTTTGCCCTTCTCCTTTGGAGCATCTGACTTCGTGGACTTGCTGAAAGGGTTACGGCACAGGGTTATGGTGGAGAAGCAGGAGAGGAAACATCCCTCCAAAATCCAGAGACAAAAACGCCCTTGCCCCCAACACAGCTAGATTATGGCAAAGGTCAGAATGCTCACCTGGACTTGTCTGCAGCCTTCCCATGTTTCTGAATGAACTCCTCTCGCTTCCTCCGGATCAGCTCCTCTTTGGAAAGTTCTACCCCATTGTCAGCCCCCACTGACTTTTCTGCAGGGGCCGTTTTGCTGGCAGTCAAGGGGACATCAAAACCTGTTAGGAGAAAACTCACTGGAGAAAAAGGACCAGATTCCAACAAAATAGACAATAGGGGGGAATTTCCTTAAACAAAAAACTAGGAGCAAACATTCTGGGGCTCACAAGGACTGGGAAGGACAGCGAGGGCGGGGGGCATTAGAGTGAGGGAGACGGGCAATGACAGAGGACGGGGGACCACTTCAGTACTTAGGGCCACGTTAACGTTTCATGCCCCATGTGTCCAAGGAGCGCACACCAACCTTCCTTCTTGGACCCCTTGTTTTTTTTATTCTTTGCTTTTTCCTTGGGCTTTTCACCCCGGGTCTCAATCATGGATCTCACAGGTTTCTTGGCCTTTTCAGAATCTTCAAATTTCTTCATGGTGGTTGGAGCCCGGACCTTACTGCTCTCCTCCGCTTCGCTAAAGCGAGAGAGAACGGCTCAGGTCCAGAGAAAGGGTCCTCACACCGAGGATCATTGAGGACGGGGCAGCACATCCGGAAGCATCTTCCAATGAACACTCGGCTGCCCCTGATCCGGCCTCGGGAAGGGAGGGAGCTCCGCAAGCCATGGAAATGGATTCTGGGGGCGGGGGAAGGCCTCTCACCGGAGGAGCCGCAGAAAGTCATTCTGGAAATCGAAAGTGCCATTCAACAGACTTAGAGCGCTTTGCTGTTGGATCTCCGTGCGGTACTTGTCCCGAAAGAGCCGGTGCACGTCATCTATCAACTTGTCGACATACGTCAGCGTTAGGATCTTCTGAAAACCAACCTGTTTCGGGGAAGAAGCAGAGCCAGCAGATCCACTTACAGGCCATCCCGGAGCGGAGGGACGCCAAGTCAGCCCGGGCCTCCAGATTGGCTAAGCCGCCTGGCAGGTGTCCCTGACCCGAGGGGCAGCCAAGCTCCCGGACTGAGCCCCAGAGTCTCTTCCCTCCCCCCCTCCCTCTCTGTCTTCTCATATAACACCATCTGCTGTGCACCGGGGTTCCCTTCTCTCAATAGTCAGGGCTGTGTTGAGAATGCACCGGGCCCTCCGAGATGCCACCACTCACCACAAACACCAGCTCAAACTGGTTGTCCAGTTTATACTTGAGCGTGAGGGCTTCATGGGTGAAGGAGTTGTTGCCGCCCCTTTCCTGGAAAGAGAGGATGTCTCCGAGTTCAGACTATTCCCCAGAAAACCCAGTCTCGGGCCCCTCAACGACCACCTTTGGGAAAGAACCGAGCATTCCCCCCAGTGTCAGAGCTGTCCCAGGACACGAGGATGCTGGGGCACCGCCCGTGACATCCCACCGGGGAGAAAAGGAGGTACCGTGGGGTGGGGGTGGGGGGAGAGTGAGACAGTGACACGACACCTGGGAGCCCGACGGAAGTAGTCGTCATAGAAACAGGTCTACTAGCAGGTGTACACTGTCTACAGACTTAAAGGTGTCTTTCCATCCCTCATCTCACCCATCCTTCGGAACAAGAGAAAACCAAGCTGCCAGGAGCGAACGGAGGGAACGATGGTTAGTCTGAAGAGGCGCCTAATCCAGCTGGGGTCCCCGAAAGCGCAGGGGGAGGGCGCGCCGCAAAGTTGCAGGACGGTCCGCCGCGGGCGGGAGAAAGAAGTGGAGCCCCGGCTACCGGCGAGCGGCCAGTCCCGGGGCGGACAGGGCGGGAGCGAGGCGCGGGGCCGGTCGAGGGAGACTATGGGTCGGATCGGGGGGTGGTGGGGGGGAACGAACCCGGAGTCCTGACCCCGCGGGGGCGGTACCTGCAGCAGCACGGAGCGAATCAACGCGTTGACGGGCCCGGTGCAGGAGTCGCTCACGCCCTGGAAGCACCAGAGCACGAGCCCGCCCTTCGAGAAAATGGTGAAGAAGTCGAGCATGGCGGCAGCGGGAAAGGAGCCCGGCCGGTGCCGGGAGCTGAGGCCACGATCGCCCCGACTTCCTGCTGCGCCAAGCGCGGGACACGTCACACCAGCGGCCCCGGAAACCAGCTCGGCCGCACTTCCGCTCAGAGCTCGGGGATCCCCACCCGCCCGCGCTGGAGGGCGCGCAGCGATGACGTAAGCAGCCTGGCCTGTGGCGGGGCTGGGCGGGGCTCTTGGGAGGTCACGAGGAGCCTGGAGGCCTATAGCGCGGGGAGGCGGGGCCCAAGGGGGCCGCTGGCCAATGGGTGAGCTCGTCTGAATGGCCGGCGGCGCGGAGCAATGACGTCTTGGGGGCGGTGCCAGGTTTGAGGGTCGCGCTCAGTGGCCGCGCTCGCCAGGACCATGTTTCGAGGGGCGCTATGGCTCTTGGCAGGTCGAGGCTGTGTGGGCCGGGGGCTAAGCACACGCAGTGGAGGCTCGACTCCGGGTAAAGTTGAGGACACCGGAGGGTGTCGTGGTTCCGGGGTACCCCCAGTCTCCGGCTGTGTGACCTTCAGGACTTTGGACCCCGGCTCAGGCGGGGAAGACAGTGGGTCAGCTGTGAGAAGGGGCTAAGCTTGCCCCCTGGAGCTTGTGAGGCCAGGACAGGTGTACGGGTCCCCGGGTTGCCCTTCTCGGGTGACAGATCGTAGACCTCAGCTCAACACCGGCATAGACCAGGCTGAGCCACGGCTGCACGACTGTGCACTAAGTCCTGCGCGCGTGCTGCATGCGGTGCTTAGTGCTGCGGCCCGTGCGAGAGGGAAGAAGAGGATTCACTATGTGTCCTGGGGGTGCCTGAAGTGCAGCCAGAGAGGGGAGGCTTTCTAGACCAGCGGTTCTCAACCCCTTTGGGTGTCGAACGACCCTTTCACAGGTCGCCTAAGACCATCGAAAAACACATCTATAATCACATATTGTTTTTGTGATTCATCACCATGCTTTAATTATGTTCAATTTGTAACCATGAAAATACATCCTACATATCAGATATTTACATGACGATTCATAACAGTAGCAACATAACAGTTATGAAGTAGCAACGAAAATAATTTTATGGTTGGGGGTCACCACAACATGAGGAACTGTATTAAAGGGTCGCGGCATTAGGAAGGTTGAGAACCACTGTTCTAGACCAAGACCGGGTCGTCTCCAGCTAGTGTCATGGTAGACCTACATGGAGCAGATGGCTACCGAGATAGGCCCTGAAGGATGGTTACTGGTTCTGGGAAGGTGTGTGTTCCAGGTGCTGGAAAACTGGGCAAAGGTTAGGAGGAGAAAAATATTATTCCCGTGCAAGGAACTAGCCAAAGCCATCTAAACAGTTTGAGTACTAATAGGGAATGTGTGGGAAGGGAAGCCCAGATCAAAGAAAGATTCTAATGCCGCTGAACGTTGTATTGGAAACAGTGAGAAGACTTGGAGATTTGTGGGTTAGGTGTTCATGACAAAGGGTTCATTTACTCAAGATATTTATTGAGCACTTAGGATGTGCCAGGTACTCTGCTAGGCTGGAGATTGGGTGGTGAAGAAGGTACACATAGCACAATATGAAGCTATCTCTAATAAACTCAAAGTTGCAAATGTGTTGCGTGCTGCATAAGAGGTTCACAGGGCTGTGAGATAATGTGGCAGGAGAATTCAACATAGTCTAGGGCGGCGGTCGCCAACCTTTCGGACCTCACGGACCACCAGTGGTCCACGGACCATCGGTTGGCGACAGCTCGCTGGTCTAGGGGGTCAGAAAAGGCTTCCCTGAGAATATGTTAACTGAGCTGAGACCTAAGGGGAGCAGAGTTAACTCGGCAAAGTGGACCCAGAGTTTCAAAACAGAGAGAGCACTTGTGTAGGTTCCCTGTGATGGGAGGAAGTAAGGTGTCATCAAGGAAGCGGGCTGGTAGTGCGGGGAGAGGAGAAGGACAAGGCGAGCAGGAGCCAGATTGTGCGTTGTCTCCCTGGGGATGTTTATGGATTCTGGACTTTTATCCTTAGAGCAATGGAAAGCCATTGGAGGGTTTTAAGCAAGAGGGGGTGTGATTCAATTCGTGTTCAGACAAGGTCAGTCAGGCTACGATGTAGAAAAGAACTGGGGGAGGGTGACAAGAGGGGAATTAGTGGAAACAGGAGGCCTTTGCATTAGTCTAAGTGAGAGATGGTGGTGGTTCAGTCTAGGGCAATGGTGGCAGAGATAGAAAAAAAAGGGGACAGATTGGGGAGATGTTTAGGAGGCAAAGTCATCGGAACTTTGTAACATATAGAACATGAATTTAAGTCTGCTGGTGGTGACGGATATGCAGGGTAAGGTGCCACTCAGAGGTGCCATGCTTCAGTGGTTGCAGCTTGGAGTGTGCTCTTGGTCCAGGAGCCTGGGACATCCAAGTGGCGATGATAACGCAGTTGAGTATATGAGCCTCAGGCTCACCAGAAAGATAGGTGTGCACAGGAGACATATACGTGTAAGTCACCTATCCTAGGGAGAGAGTATAGCCTGTTTATCTTAGGAGGTGGAATCTGGAGCAGGGCATGATGCATGAAAAGGAAGAGAGGCTGATGGCACGCAGAACCTATAGCAAGGCTGTGGCATACTGCTGGCTGCACGTGGACCTTACGGGAGGGGCTGACGGTGGGGACTGCCAACTCAGTGTCAAGTTAGCCCACCTTTTCCTGTGCCCATCTCCCAACCCCCTACCACCTGCAAAGGAAATGAATGGCTCTCTGTGACCATAACTGCCTCCCACAGACTGGACTGAAAAGGTGTCTGAAATTAAGAAGAAGATCCAGTCGGCTCTTCCTGGAGGGGCCTGGGATCCACTGTATGACACCAGCCACCTGCCCCCTGAACACTCGGATGTCGTGATTGTGGGGGGTGGGGTGCTTGGCCTGTCCGTGGCCTATTGGCTGAAGAGGTTGGAGAAGCCCCGAGGTGCCATCAGGGTGCTGGTGGTGGATCGGGACCACACGGTGAGGTCTGGGGTAGGGCAGAGTCATGAGTGGGGCTTGGACTCGGATTTTACTAAGGACTCTCGGGAGTCTGCAGGGCGGGGACTGAGCTTTGGACCTTGTGGAGAATTAGTCCCAGGTTCATCCTCCTTCCAGCTAGGGGCCTTGGCAATAGGTTTTTGCCTTTGAAAGCGCATTTCAGTGTCGCATCCTTTGAGATCTCACAGGTCTGGCCACGAGAGCCTGTGTTCAAGTTATAATTAGTACAACTATCTCAGCCCCCTTTTTAGGTTCCATCACGCCTCAGGTTTTACACTTAGGTGTTCCTGTTACCACTGCCAGCCAGCCACGAATCTTTTTTTTTTTTTTTAAATATATTTTTATTGATTTCAGAGAGGAAGGGAGAGAGGAACATCAATGAGAGAGAATCACTCATCGGCTGCCTCCTGCTCGCCCCCCACTGAGGGTTGAGCCCGCAACCTGGGCATGTGCCCTTGACCAGAATCGAACCCGGGACCTTTCAGTCGGCAGGCCAACGCTCTATCCACTGAGCCAACCCAGCGAGGTTCCAGCACGAATCTTGCTGCTTTGGCCGTATCCCAATTAGAAGATCAAAAGTCCTGCCCATGGACTTCCAGGCCATTTTGTACGACTGTGCCCGGGCCTTGGTTGATGACTGACTCTGTTTGCTGTGCACATCTGCTAATGAGGACTTGACCATTGTCCTCTCTGGGCTGCTGGGTGACTTGCATATGGGTTTATCCATGCAGCTCTTCTTAGATCCTAAACCTGCAAGAAGAACTCCCCTTTAACTTAAGGTTCATGGCTCACAGAACCCATGACAGTCTCTGCTCCTGTGTAGCAGGGCGCTGCTCCACCTCAGCCTCCCTTGTCTTCCCACAGTATTCCCGGGCCTCTACCGGGCTTTCCGTGGGCGGGATCCGCCAGCAGTTCTCGCTGCCTGAGAACATCCAGCTCTCCCTCTTTTCAGTGGACTTTCTACGGAACATCAATGTACGTGCAGTGAGATTTGGGGGTTGGGGTGGTGTCCCCTCCTTTAGCCCAGAGAGAGGAGGGCAAACAAGAAGCAGGAGCAGTCGGGCAAGTAGGAATCGGAGCCCTGGTTTTCTTCCCAGTGTGGTGCCTAGAGGAGGCTTATGTCTGGGTGAGGACCCTGAGCCCCGAGGTTGTAAGTGAGGAGCCAGGAGCGCTCTCCATCCCTTCTCTAAACCAGCTTCTCTGAGGAGCTTTCTTTGCACATAGGAGTACCTGGCGGTAGTCGATGACCCTCCCCTGGACGTCCAGTTCAACCCCTCAGGGTACCTTTTGCTGGCCTCAGAAAAGGGCGCTGCAATCATGGAGAACAACGTGAAAGTGCAGAGGTGGGTGCCGGGCACGGCCTCGGAGTCGCCTCGCAGCCACGTGCAGGCAGTAAGCCCTAAGCCAAATCCAGGCTGGGACGACGGAGCTGATGAGTCAGGCCCGCCGCCCCTTGGGAACTCAGTTGGGAAAGGCAGGCACATGCAGAACTTCAAGGCCCTGTGCTAGGGCTGTGATACAGATGCGGACAAAGTGCTGCTGGTGGGCCCTGCATTGCCAGATAAGAACCACCTAGGACACACCCCAGACCTGATAAATCAGAGTCTCTAGGGAGGGGCCCAGGAATCTGCAGGCATTTCCTGTAAGAGCCAGATAGTAAGTATTTTAGGCTTTGCTGGCCATACAGTCTCTATTGCCATCACTCAACTTGCAATCGAAGCACAAAAGCAGCGCTAAAAAAAAACACACGCATGAGTGTGGCTCATGTACAGAAATAACCCGCAGGCCGGATATGGCAGCCCTGCCCTCTGTGATAACCATGGTCAGTCAAGAGCAGGAATCGGCAACAGACAGGTCTCCAAGTCTCACACGTGACATCAGGTAATGTCCTAACTGCTTCACAGATAATAGCTCAATTTGATCAGAACATCCCTATTTTACATGTGGGGAAATCGAAGTGGTGGCTGGGAGTGAAACCAGGCATTCTGGCTTAGGGGTGTGTTCTTTGAGCACCGTGTTGCAGCCTTTGGGTGCTCAAGGAACAGAATCCCAGAGGAGGTGGCTGTGCTAGTGGGTGCGATTGTCCCAGGAGGTGGGCAGGAGGCTGTCCCAGGTAGAGCGGAGGGAACAGCGACTCACCCTGTTGTGAAAGGACATGAAGTAGTTAGAGGATGACGGGATTCAGGCTGTGCAGCCAACGGACACTAGGGTGTGGGAAAGGAAGAAGGGGTCAGATGCTGGAGAGCCGAGGAGGCTTGTCCCCCATCCATTCAGCAAGGACAGAGAAGGGGCATGAATGAGGCCGAATCCCCGCTTGTGAAGCTGGGTCCGTCCTGCTCCCTCTGCACGCTCATCCTCACTCACACACACACACAGGCACACGTGTTTCTCTCAGGCAGGAAGGAGCCAAAGTGTGTCTGATGTCCCCGGAGCAGCTGCAGAACAAGTTTCCCTGGATTAACACGGACGGAGTGGCCTTGGCGTCTTACGGTGAGGCGTGTTCCCAGAGGGCATCGGGCTGTGGGCACCTCGGGTGGGAAGCCCCAGCACCCTGCAGCCGCGTCACTGAGCAGCGCCTCCCTCTGGCCAGCAGGCCCCCCCCACCCCAGGCCATGCCAGCTCTGTTCTTCCGCAGGATTTGACTCGGTGCAGTGGGTCAGCTTGACTTTCCCCAGCGTATGAGCCCAAAGAAGAGTAGGGGGGTGCAGGAAACAAAAGGAGAGGAGGGCTCTCGTCCCTCTTCATCCTCCTCTTTTTCCCTCACAGGGTTGGAGGGTGAAGGTTGGTTTGACCCCTGGTGTCTGCTCCAGGGGCTTCGGCGAAAGATCCAGTCCCTGGGGGTCTTTTTCTGCCAGGGAGAGGTGACACGTGAGTCTGCCCCCCTTGCCCACTGCTCATATCCTTTGCCATCCAGGGCGCAGGCCTAGACTGTGTCTTTTTTTTTTTTTTAATTGTTTTATTGCTTAAAGTATTACAAAGAGTATTACATATGTCTCCTTTTTTTTTCCCCGCCCTTGACAATCCCCTGGCCTCCCCTACCCCCCAGTGTCTTATGTCCATTGGTTATGCTTATATGCATGCATACAAGTCCTTCGGTTGATCTCTAACCGCCCCCTCCTGCCCCCGAGCCCTCCCCGGCCTTCCCGATGTAGTTTGATAGAGCCTAGACCAGCCGTGAGCAAACTACGGCCAGTTTGAAATGAATAAAACTAAAAAAAAAAAAAAGACCGTACCCTTTTATGTAATGATGTTTACTTTGAATTTATATTAGTTCACACAAACACTCCATCCATGCTTTTGTTCCGGCCCTCCGGTCCAGTTTAAGAACCCATTGTGGCCCTAGAGTCAAAAAGTTTGCCCACCCCTGGCCTAGACCATGTCTTATCTTCACTCACAAGGGTTGGTGGGGGAAGGGGCTTCTCCCCTGAGGGCTGGCCCTGGGCATCCTGACTCCAGCTGCTGACTAGGCTGTTTCCGCCTCGTGATTGGCTAGAACAGTGATGGCCAACCTTTTGAGCTCGGCGTGTCAGCATTTTGAAAAACCCTAACTTAACTCTGGTGCCGTGTCACATATAGAAATTTTTTGATCTTTGCAACCATAGTAAAACAAAGACTTATATTTTTGATATTTATTTTATATATTTAAATGCCATTTAACAAAAATCAACCAAAAAAATGAGTTCGCGTGTCACCTCTGACACGTGTGTCATAGATTCGCCATCACTGGGCTAGAAGGTTTCAGTGCTCTCCTGCCCTGAGTGCGGCCAAGTTCATCCCCGTTACCCTGTTGGCTGCAGGGTCTGGGAAAGCGTCCAGCCTTCCAGTTCCTTTCCCTAGGACACCGGGACCCCCCATCTCCTTCCTCTCCAAGGCCTCGAGGGCTTCTTTCATTTTCTTTCTCCTGCAGGTTTCAGCACATCATCTAGCCGCATGCAGACCAGCGGTGGGAAAGAGATGACTTTGAAGAGGATCCATGAAGTCCATGTAAGTTCCCAGCCTGCGTAACTTCCTCACCAGTGCGGAGGGAGGGAGGAGAACAGTAATGGCTGTCACTTGGAACTTCTACCCACTTCCAGGAAGAAAATTTCCTCTCATGGTGGCCAGCGTATGGGCCAGGCCCTGCCTCCCTCCCCCTCTGTGCCTGCAGGTGAAGATGGACCACAGCCTGGAATACCAGCCTGTGGAATGTGCGCTCGTGATCAATGCCGCCGGGGCCTGGTCTGGGCAAGTAGCAGAGCTGGCTGGTATTGGGAAGGGGCCACCTGGCACCCTGGAGGGCACCAAGCTACCTGTGGAGCCGAGGAAAAGGTGACTTCCCCCAGGGCAGCTGAGGAGGTTGGTGAGAGGAGGAGAGAAACAATATAAAAGGTTATTAAACCTGGCCAGCGTGGTTCAGTGGTTGAGTGTCAACCTATGAACCAGGAGGTCACGGTTCGATTCCTGATCAGGGCACATGCCCGGGTTTCGGGTTCGATCCCCAGGGTGGGGTGTGTAGGAGGCAGCCTGTCAATGATTCTCTCATTGATGTTTCCATCTCTTTCCCTCCCCCTCCCTCTCTGAAGTCAATAAAAATAAATTTTAAAAAAAGAAAAAACGGTTGTTCAGTGGGAGGAGGGAAGAGTTGCTATTCCCGCCACTTCCTAACCCACCTGGTTATATGGCAGGTACGTGTACTTCTGGCACTGCCCCGAGGGACCAGGCCTGGAGACTCCGTTCATGGCAGACACCAGTGGAGCCTATTTCCGCCGGGAAGGATTAGGCCACAACTACTTGGGTGGCTGCAGCCCCACCGAGGTGAGCTAAATGGGGTCGGTGCTTGGGAGGGGATAGCCCGGTGGTCATTAAAGCGTCAGGCTCTGGGGAGGGCCAGTGCTGTTACTGATGTGGCAGCGCTTTCAGGTTTCGATTGGGATCTCGTCCCCATCCCCCACCCACCTAGGGGGTTGACTAAAGAGGTCAGTGAGCTCTGGCTCTGTCCTTGTGTCCCCACCTCTCACCCCAGGAGGAGGAACCAGACCCGGGGAACCTGGAAGTGGACCATGATTTCTTCCAGGACAAGGTGTGGCCCCATTTGGCCCACCGAGTACCAGCTTTTCAGAGCCTGAAGGTAACTGGGAGACATGACATTGGAGCATCTCGGGCCCATCTGTCTACCTCACAACTGCTAAGGGCTCTGCGGGTCTAAGGACCCATGCTGTCAACCCCTTTGGCAGTGGTGGAGGGTGCTGAGGCCTGACCAGGTGGCGGGTGGCTGCCCTGGCGGCCTTCCAGAGAACCCCAACGTCTTGTGCACCTGCAGGTTCGGAGCGCTTGGGCCGGCTATTACGACTACAACACCTTTGACCAGAACGGCGTGGTGGGCCCCCACCCCCTGGTCGTCAACATGTACTTTGCCACAGGCTTCAGTGGCCATGGGCTCCAGCAGGCCCCCGCCGTGGGCCGAGCTGTGGCCGAGATGGTGCTAAAGGGCCAGTTCCAGACCATCGACCTGAGCTCCCTCCTCTTCAGCCGCTTTTACTTGGGAGAGAAGGTCGAAGAGCGCAACATCATTTGAGCCTGTAAGCTCTTCGCTGGCCCCACTTCCCCATCTGTCACCCCTGGTCACATCCTGGCCCATGTTCACGTCCTCCTCCCCAGCATCATGCCAAGAGCTCCTCCATCCTCCTCTCACTCAGGTGATTCTGTCCCCATGTGGCTGGGCAGGTGGGCAGGCTGCAGGCTCTGAGGTTCTGCGCCTGAGGCCCAGGCTGACAGAATGAGGGAGCAGGACCCTGGGACTGATCCCTGGCCCAGGCTGATGCTGCCCACCAAGGCGATCCAGCTGGACAGCACGCCTCAGTGGTCCTGAGCACCAGGCCCAGGGCTGGCTCCCTCCTGGCACCAACCAGAAAGATCACCACTTCCCCTCTTCGCAGAGCCCAGGCAGGGAGCATTCCGGTGCAGCTGGCCCCAATTTATTATCAATCAATAAATGTGATGAACTCCTTCCTGTCAGTTTTCTGTCCCTTCCTCTCTTTACCCCATGGCAGGTGCCTTTGAAGTGCCCGCTAGCCTTTGACCACAGGTTGGAAGAAGCACAGCCTCCCCGTCTTCCCAGGAGTGTTCTTTTTTTAAAATCCTCACCCGAGGATATTTTCCCATTGCTTTTTAGACATAGTGGAAGAGAGAGAAAGACAGACAGAAATATCAATGTGAGAGAAACACATCAATTGGTTGCCTCCTGCACACACCCGGACCAGGGCCCTGAGGGGGAGGAGCCTGCAATCGAGGTATGTGCCGGTGACCAGAATCAAACCGGAATGCTTCAATTCGCAGGCCGATGCTCTAGCCCAGGGGTGGGCAAACTTTTTGACTCGAGAGCCACAATGGGTTCTTAAACTGGACCGGAGGGCCGGAACAAAAGCATGGATGGAGTGTTTGTGTGAACTAATATAAATTCAAAGTAAGCATCATTACATAAAAGGGTACGGTCTTTTTTTTTTTTTTTTTTAGTTTTATTCATTTCAAACGGGCCAGATCCAGCCCGCGGGCTGTAGTTTGCCCACGGCTGCTCTAGCCACTGAGCCAAACCAGCTAGGGCCCCAGGAGCATTCTTAAATCCTCCTTGGCAAGCTAGTGCCTCCTTTTCCCACCTTCCTGCAGGGGTGTGGTTGTAGAGGGAAGGGACGTGTTCATTCCTCTGCGGTATTTATTCCGCTCCAACTGTTGGCTGGGTCTAGGGCAGTGATGGTGAACCTATGACACGCGTGTCAGAGGTGACACGTGAACTCATTTTTTTGGTTGATTTTTCTTTGTTAAATGGCATTTAAATATATAAAATAAATATCAAAAATATGTCTTTGTTTTACTATGGTTGCAAAGATCAAAAAATTTCTATATGTGACACGGCACCAGAGTTAAGTTAGGGTTTTTCAGAATGCTGACACGCCGAGCTCAAAAGGTTCACCATCACTGGTCTAGGGCTACCTATTTGAGATACACCAGCAGGCAAACCTAAAAGTTGAGCAGCTTCACAAAGTGAATGCAGGGGGGAGTGGGAAGGGGGTTGGTTCCAGGCTGATGGAAAACCATATACAGAGGCCTGGGCCCAAGAATTAGCAAGATTCCAGGGCTAGCTGGATCATGATTTGTCCTAACAGGATCATGGGGTAAAAGAAGAGATGCGTCTGGGCCTGGGGCTGAGGAGCCGTGCTGCGGAGCTCTGTCATTCTGTGGGCAGGGGACACTGCAGGGTTTTCAACAGGGAAACCACATGATCCGATTTTCCTTTTAGAAAAAGCATCCTGCCCACCCTGATGTCAAAGCAAGAGGCCAGGTGGAAGGCTGCTATTACAGCCCACACCCCAGGAGCAGCTATGGTCCATCCACGAAGCTACAGTAGCAACAAGAAATTGGGTCAAGTAAGGCTCCCTTCTCTGCACTGGACAGCTGGGTGGATGTCATGCCTTTCATGGAGATGAGGAAGGCCAGGGAGGAGTTGCAAGGGGCAAAAAGTTAGGGGCCTGTAGGACACCTGTAGAGATGTCCGTCAGGGTTGAATGTATTGTGGCCTCAGCTGGTCTGGGCTGAGGTAGAGATGTGGACCCCATGGGAGAGGATGGTATCAGCACAGGATGTGAGAAAAGTAGGGGACCAAGGGTTGAGCCACAGAAGAGGCCGCTGAGGAGGTGGCCAGAGGCAGAAGAAAAGCCAGGAGGGTGAGGGGTCCGGCAGAAGAGGGATGGTCACCGGTGTAAATGCACGTGGGGGCTGGATGCAGCCCAAGTAGGTCAGGGGACCTCGGAGAGCCGTTGAGGAGGTGCACCTCGGGGTCTGAGGTGTGGGCCGCTGTTCAGAAGGGAGAAGTGAGTGGGAGTAGTGACAGCTAGTACAGTGCCCTCACCCCCAGTGTCCTTTGGAGAGAAGAATGAAGCAAATGATGGCGGTGGGTCTCACGGATCACCTGGGGGAGGGAGGGAGGAGAGGACAGATGTGCTGCCAGTGAGGAACATTAGAAGCGCCTGTGGGTGCGGGGTGAAGAGCCAGGAAGAGGAAGGGCCACCCAAGTTAGGACAAGAAGGAAATTGCCGGGGGCGTGGGGCCAAGGAGGAACTTGCCAGGGGCATGGGGACAAGGAGGAACTTGCCAGGGGTGTAGGGATAGGGGCCATCAGGTCAAACCCGACACCCCTGTTAACCCCGGGAGGTAGGGTCCCTAGGTGCCCAGTGGGCACTCGCCCTTCAGGACAGACCCCCATCTATGGGTCAGAGGAAAAAGGCTCCGCACCAGCAGCTACTTCCTTGGAGAGGACAAATGAGCTTATTAAGGTTAGAGAACCCTCCGTCCTCCCGCCAGGCTGTGTTCAGGCGGCTGGGGGAGGACTGTGCTCATCACTGCGTCGGTCGGTCGGTGTCACTAGTACTGTGCATGGGGTAGGAACTAAACCTTCCCCTCCGCGGGGCACTGAGCTATGGAGATGCCGGCGCAGTACTTGGCTCGGTGTTCACCTGGGTGCCTCTCGGCCCCCTTTGGAGCCCGAAGACGGTCCCCGGCCTCGGGGAATCTTCAGTCTAACGCGAGGCCTGCGCTGTGGGCGCACAAGCTCCGAATGGCACCGATGCAGCGGGAATTTGGGGAGGGAGAAGGGCGGGGTGGGGGAACAAGGGCTTCCCTGCAAAAGCTACCTAGGTGCCGCTGGCCAGCAGCCGGGCGCCGCGGGCAGAGCCGGGGGGAGGAGGGCGGGCGCCGAGGGGCCTCCTCCCCGAGGCCGCGGGTCTCCCTGGTGGGCCCAGGGCTCATCGGCCAGCTGCTGCCCAAGTGGTGACCCCGTGGGCGCCCGCGAGCCCACCTGCCTCGGACCGCGGGGGGGCCCTGGGCGGGGCGCAGCCTGGCACTTCCGGGGGCGGGGCAGTGCCCTGGCCGCGCCTCACTTCCCCTGGGCCCAGCGGGCGGGCGCCGGAGCTCACACTGCACCGTCCATCGCCCGCACCGCCTGCACCGCAGCCCGCCCCGCGCAGGTGAGCGCCCGGAGCAGGTGCGGGGGACGGCGGGGAGGCCGCGGAGCAGGGCGGGGTCCAGGGAGGGAGGCGGCCGTGGGTGGGCAGGACCCGCGTCCCGCCCTCTGCCCTGCGCGACCCAGCCCCCGGCAGGGCACACCTGCCGATCCAGCGCCTCCCTCCCTCCAGCCCGTCCACCCGCTGCCTCGGGCACCCCGAGCGGGAGCGGACGCGGCATGAAAAGGGCCTCCGGGGCGGCTGTCACTCACCATCCGGTCGCCCAGAGGCTGGTCCAGGGAGCCCGCCCTGCTGGAGCCGGGGAGGCGGGCCTGGCCGGGCGGTGGCTTCTCCCTCTGACTCCGCAGCCTCCCCCTCTGCTCTCCCCACGGCCTTTATGGCCGCGCTCCCGCAGGAACGTGGCTTTCTTAGGGCAGCGACCTGTCAGGCATTCCCTCCAGAGTCATTCAACCAACATCTGCCATGGGCGGGGCACCGTGGGAGGCGCTAGCGACACCATTGACCCGGACAGATTCCGCCCTCCTCCTGGAAATTAGAAATCAGAGCCCACCCTTAGGGAGAGGGAGCTCTGCAGCTCACGCAGGGGGCACCCAGGGTCCGGAATCACCCACCGTCCCAGGAAGTCGCGTCTAGTTGTTTTTCAAGCTTTTGAAAAATTGCCCAAGTCGTAAGCGTCCGTCTTACCCAGTTTCCACACTGAACTTTTCCTGTGCAACCTGCATCCAGAACAGATAAATAGTGCTCGCTCTCCACAGGCCTCCCACACCCGCTTCCAGTCTCTGCTTCCGCCTGGCACCACCACTGACCTGCCTGCCAACCCCAGAAAGTAGTTTCACTTGCTTTTGAACTTTCGGTAACTGGAATCCCATGTCATGTCCTTTTTGTGCATGGCATGTGAGAGTCACCCACGCTTCCTGTGGCAGGGATCCGTGGCTTCTCACTGATGTGTAATGCTGCACCGTGCAGACGGACCGCCGTTTATTTCTACATGCCACCTGACGCTTGGATTGATGGACATGGGTTTGGGTTTTGGGGTCCCCCCCCCCCGTTTGGGGTTATTGTAAATAGCGCTGCGAAGAATTCTTGTGTTTGTCTTTCGGTGTAAGCACTTACGCTGGGCTTGTTCCTAGAGTTAAGGTGCTAGGTGTGTACGGTGTCAGCTTTCTATATGGTGCCAGTTTTTCAGTCTGCTCCCCACCAATTTACATGTCTCCCTGCAGCGTGTGAGTTCCTACCAGTACTTGCTATTATTGTCTCTCTTCCATAGAAGCCATTTTGCTCAGTGTGTGGGCAGTGGGGTTGCTTTGAGGGTGTTTTCGTTTTCTTAATATATTTTTATTGATTTCAAAGAGGAAGGGAGAGGGGGAGAGAGAGATAGAAACATCAATGAGGAGAGAGAATCATGGATCGGCTGCCTCCTGCACGCCCCACACTGGGAATCGTGCCCCCCAACCCTGGCATGTGCTCTGACTGGGAATCGAACCGTGACCTGGTTCCTAGGTTGAGGTTCAACCACTGAGCTGCACCTGCCGGGCTGCTGAGGTTTGAATTTGCATTTTACTGATGACTAATGCCTTCTGCATATTTTCATATGTCTGTTGGCCATTTGGAGGTCCTTTTTGTGAAGTGTCTGTTCAATTCTTCCACCCATTTTTCTAATAGATTTTCTCTCTTTTTCTTACTAGTTTGTAAGAGTTCTTAAATATTCTGAATGTGAGATATTTATTGGCTATGTAATTTTAAAATATCTTTTTTCTCTCAAAAGATTGCCTTTTCACTCTCGTAATAATGTCTTTTGATGAACGGAAGTTTTTCATTTTAATGTTGTCCAATTTATTGTTTTTCCCTATGGTTGTATTATTTAAGTCCAATTTGAAAAGATATTTTGCTTCTGGGGTAGGGGTGGAGCATGAAATGGGTGAAGGGGGTCAAAAGGTACAAACTTCTAATTATAAACTAAATAAATCATGAGGCTCTAATGTATAGCTTGAGGATATA